TTATTATTATTATTTTGTGCTCTGATTTGTAATTTCTTTTGCTCAGTATCTGGTTCTTCAGGAGTTTGATGCAGTATTATTTACTCCAAGGTAATCCAGATACTGGCATATAGAGAAAACCAGTTGACAGCAATAACTATGTCACACTAACTACAGTAGAAAAGCAAGTGACAGCAATGGCACCAGGTATCAATTGGCTATGATACAATCTAAGAACACCCACAAACTGCCTTTACCCAGAGCAAAGAGGCCTGTGATTTTAATGAAGACACTTAGGCCACCCAGACTCTGACAGTAATTGTGACCACTGACACAGTATACAGTATATATGGGACTCTCCAGGTCTCTTACAAGGATGGTTTCTACTTTTTTAAGCCTCCCAGGAAATCTCTGTTTAACTCTTACACTCTCAAGTCTGTCTCCCAAGACTTTCTCTCGCAGTATCTGGAGAAGGGTAACACCTTAGCACTGCAGCAAACTTAAGGGAGTTGGTCTCATTTTTAATCAGGTGTTTTGGTTGTTGCCTCTGCAGCCCTGTGGCATGCTTGGTACTGGTGTCTGAAGCAGGGGTAGGGCCCCTCTCCTCAGTTTTTCAAAGGTGTAGCTATGGGAATCAATTAAGTTGTAGCTATTGATTCTCTTACTCTTCCTCTCTCCTTGCTTCCTTGTGAGAGGGTCTCACCATGTAGTTTATGCTGGCCTTGACTCCACTGTGAAACTCATTATATAAAAGATAGGTCTTCTTTAACTGTATTCTGCATTTGAAACAAAATATTTTACTTAAGGCAGTTTAAATTCATAGGAAAATGAAAAGATGTCACATACCCTTTTCCAGGCTCTCTTACTATCAACATCCCACATAATAGTAGTACAGTTGTTGCCAGGATTGGTGGGGAATGCCTATAATCTCAGTACTCAGGAGACTGAGGCAGGAGGCTCGTCATGAGTTTGAGGCAAGCCTGTATTTTAACGTATGTATAACATATGCCCACCATTTCAGTAGTACACGGAAGTGTCACTGTACTAAAAATACTGCTTCTCACTCATTTCTAACGCCTCGCAAGCACTGACCTTTTATTCCCTATGTAGACCGCTCTCTCTGTATTACAAGAGTTGGAATTATATGGTATATAGTCTTTTTAGTTTGGCTATTTTAATGTAGTAATATGAATATAAAATTCTGGGGGAAAAGGAAAAAAATTAAACATAAGAAAAGGAAAACATGGTAACAGCTTTTGTAAACGAGGGAAGGAGTTTAAGGGAGGGTAAGGGAATGGGAAAAATGTATTATCACATACAGGTACAAATTCTCTATGATGAATATGATCATGGATATCTACAATGTGCCCATAAAATGTGATTTTTTTAAAAAGTCAAAATTTCCTTTTATGGTTTAGCAGGCCATTTATTTTTCTTGCTTGACTTTCTATGTATAACTGACAGAGAAACTGTAGTTAAAAATGTAATATATTGGGCTGGTCAAATAGCTCAGTGGATTAAGAGGTTCAACCTCCTAGGCCTGATGTGCCGGACCGTCTCTGGGGTGCACTGAGGCTGCAAATGAGACTGGGTGTGGTGGTGCGTGCCTGTAATCCCAGCACTTGAGTGGCTGTAAACAGGAGAGTCACTATGAGTCTGATCTAGTAGTGAGACCCTGAACACCCTGTAGACCCTTCCCTTAAAAACGTAATATATCTAGGTAGTATGAAAGTTAATCATCTCTCATTGTTACTTTGTAACAACACTGAATTTTTTTTTTTTTTTTTTTTTTGCAGTACCAGAGATTGAACTCAGGGCCTTGTACTTGCCAGGCAGGTGCTTATTCTATTGAGCTATCACCCTGACCCCAACACTTATCATCTTAAAACACTTAAAATGCAGTCTTATAGGAACACAGCCACATACTATCTACAACTGCTTTTGTTTTGAAATGGTTGATTGTTGTGCACAGCTTGCCAGGCCTACAGTTACAGACAGGCACTTTACAGATAGGTTGCTGACCCTTGTTCTCCTACTGCATCTTCTATCCCCCTTCTTTGAGCATCTCAGTCTAGCCTTTTCTACCTTACACTCTGTACATCTTGATCTGCTGAGGAATGTTCTTCACTCATTATTACTCCATTACTTTATTCTTAAGATTCAGGTCATAGCTTCAATGTAACTCTTCTGAAACTTTTCCTAGCCAACTGATCTAGAATGGCCCTTTCATCTCCTCTATTCATTCATTCATTATGAAACAACAGTTTGGGGGAGGGCGCTGGGAATCAGTGCTAGGCAAACATCGTGTTAAATATTTTTTGAACGCGAAAATAGTATCGATTTAGAGACTGGGTGTGGTGGTGTGTGCCTGTAATCCCAGCTCTTGGGAGGCTGTAAACAGGCAGATCACTACTGAGTCTGATCTAGCAGTGAGACCCTGAACACCCTCTAGAGACCCTTCCCTAAAATACAAAAAAAAAAAAAAAAAAAAAAAAAAAAAAAAAAAAAAAAAAAAAAAAAAAAAAAAAAAAAAAAAAAAAAAGACAAGAAAAAAGAAAAATGATTTAAAATTAGTAAGTTGGACTCAGTTTAGACAATCATCATTTGTTGGCAGCATTGAAAGCATCAGGCGCCAGATGAATATCCAATGCCTCTTCTCCATCAGACCATCTAAGCACCAGGTTTGATCTAAGCATTGACTTTGAGCACATCGATGTCACTGAGTTTATCCACATCCCGAATGAACTGGCTTCTTGGCTTTGACGTCAACAATAAACACAAACACATTGTCTTTTCTTTTATTCATAGCCTACTCAGCAATCAGGGAACTCGAGCCCTGCAACAAATGAGTGTTTCTCCCAGGGATGTTCTTGGAAAGGTGTTAGTGCTGTCTCTGGAGCCAGTATCTTGGGTTGATGGAAGGTAGGTGACATGCTCATATATTGTGGCTGTGCATGCCTTTCAGCATTAACTTTTTCATGTTTGAAGCCTCTGTCTTCATCTTTGGGAGGGGCAGGAGTTTCCTTCACTTTCAGTGTCATATTGGTGAAGGTCTAACAAAACAGTAGCAAATACTGAAACTTTGCACTTAGTTTTCTCCCAATCAGAATGTAAGTTCCAGGACAGAAGAGATCTTGCTTTGTGCACTCCAAATTTTATCATCACAGTAAATTGACAGCCACCAAGTAATAGCTACAATTGTTTTCAAACTGAAAAGAAAAATAGGGGGCCTGGCCCTAGCTCAGTTCCGGGGCTGCTGAGATGGCTCAGTGGTCTAAAGCACCTACTTAGAACAAGCTTAGCAAAGCACAGGGAGTTCGGTTCAATCCCCCAGCACCACATGCCAGCCAGCCCTGCCCCCTGGTGGGCTGAACTGGACACACACACACACACACACACACACACACACAAATTAAAAAAAAAAAAAAAATTTAAAAAAAAAAAAAAAGAAAAGAAAAATGCCAGTTAGTAATTGTTGAATAAATTTGAGTCCAAGGCCAGGAATACATCTCAGCTCAGTAAGATTCCATAGGTCAGTTCCAGTGATTCACACTTGGCCCAAAGACTGGCCTGAACTCAACTCTGAAAGATCTGTGGAAGACTTAGCAACATTACTGGCCTCTTGCCTAATGATGGGGAAAACAATTCCACCAAGAACATTTTCCTAAGTCAAGTGGATTACTGCAAGCTCAGGACCAGCCCCAACTGCATGGCAAGGCCCTGTCTCCAAAAAAAAAAGGTGTATTTTTCTGGAACAGGGATCCACCTGGCCTTCCTAAGGTAAACATCAGTCAAACTGGGCAAGAGGTAAAGCCATAAGACAGAACAAAAAACATTTTCAACTTTGTGATTATTATGGTTAAGAATTTTATTATCAAAATTATTACATCTCTTGTGAAAGTTCAAATGTTACAGCAAGGTGTAAACACTCCACTTGAGAAAGAAGTGATACTTCTTCCCTTCCAAGAGTCCCCCCACCCCCACCCCCAGGAGGTCTGGTCTTGACAGCACCCTGCCCACACAGAGTGGCTGGGGTCTCTGCGCGTGTCAGGCAGGGTGAGGGCCGCCTGCCCGCTGGCCTCACCCCTTGGTTAACAGCCAAGGGGAGAATGCGAACCCCAGCCCAAATGGAGAGACATTTACATACGTTTTATATAATATACAAAGAAACCGGCATCCCAGGCAACATGATTTCCACTCCCAACGCTCTCCCAGACTGATGGGTTTGTGGGGGAAACAAAAGAGTACTCTGCTGAGGTCTCAGCATTAAAAAAAAAAAAAAAAAAATCTCCCCTCATTTGAGCAAACACCTGATTTTCAATTTTGAAAAGTGAAATTTTGTAACAGTCACACACAAAGAGAGAAGACTGTGCATATGAAAGTTGTAGGACAGGTTGAAAAGAAAGGGATGCAAGAGGCTGGGGAAAAAGAACAAATTAGGAGGAGGGAGACTCACAGTATTATCTTGTCCAAAAGAAAAGAAGGTCCACTGCAGCACCAGGGATTACACCTGTCCTATATTTACTACCCCTACCATGGTTATAACTGAATACAAAATTAGATAAATAAAAACACGCCAGATATTACAGTAAACAAGTGAAAGAAATAAGCTGGCAATCATATGGAATTTAAAAAGATTGTGTACCCCACCTGGGCTGGCTCCAGGGCACCTCCAGGGGTGTACAACAGGCACAATGCACTGATGGGGAGAAGCCAGTCTGCTCTTGTCTCTCATCTAGAACAGTGTTAGGGGTGTGGGTGGCTTGCTAACTCTCACTGGCCCACTCTCACATAAGCATCCCCCAAAGAAAAGTGGGGCAAGCCCACACACAATCACAGTCTTGTCGGTGCCACTCCACAAACCTATTTCCCACTCTTACCCTGCAGTCACGAGTATGTGCTCCCCAATCATGAAGGTGGTTCTACTCATGGGATCCAACTCCTGATTAACTGGGAGTAGGAAAGAAAATACAAATAATTCCCAGACCACTTGAGATCCTTCCTTATCAAATCTACTGCCAAAAGATGCAATTGACTTCACTGGAAATCACTTTTCGTTTCACTTTTGTGTACTTACTCTTTGAGTTTGGAAACTGAAACAGTTTGGGAAGGGTTGGGATGGTAACATCTGGGGGTTAATCTCCTCAGATAATCTGCTCCCAAATAATCAAGAACTGACCAAGAGCTCTTTTTCAGAGCCAGGCACCTCTCAGAGCAAGCTCCAAGCTTTCCTATCCTAGCCCATTTCCTGGTGATTTTAAGACAAAGGTAAGGAGTACTCTGGGTGGACACACCTTAGCCAGACATCTGCTTTTGGAATGGTTTTTTTTTGGATGAACATTTACATACCTACCATTTTTTAAGTGCATAAAACCCTAACACTACTTGGATGCCTTGGGGCTTTGAGATTGGCTCTTCTCACTTTTTTCCTTTGAAATAAAACTTTTTTTTAAATTTAAAAAGATGTCCTCACTGCACAAGTGACTACTGGCTACAGGCAAGGATGGGAGACAGAGGCTTCAACACAACTCATTGCACTTAGAACCGTTACTAACTGAAACACCATTTGCTTGTCAACAATGTACCCTTAACAGCAGGGAGAAACTTCTTTATAGTCTTTGCTTCAGACAAGATTTACATCTTTCTCCAAGGCCAGAGGCCAGTCGCGACCACAAGTCTTGTTTCTTGTCGACCAGACCCAATCCTCTGGTGCCTTGTATCCCCCTCCCCCAGCAATATGCTCGGCTGAGGTTCCAGAGGCAGCTGGAAGAAGCAGCTATGGGCTTGTTCAGTTCAGTTTGCCCATATCCAGAAGCCCTAGGAAAGTCCTGTCTGAGTCTTGACTCCTGACCCTTGCAGTGGCTGGAGGCGGTACTGGTGCACACTTCCACTCCCACGGTGTGGATAGTGCTGTGAATTGGAAACCGCAGATACCCTGGAGGCCTGGTAGGCAGCTGACTGCCCAATACCGGGCAGACTGATAGTCCGTAAGTCTGATGGCAACGACGACCTAGAGTTCTGAGGAAAGGAGGTGGAACTCAAAGTTCCTGTGCTGGACTGAGAAACTGAGTCTGAGGTTGGCGAGTCCGAGGGGCCCTGCAGGGTAGGGCTAGCAGCACTAGAATGACAGCTCCTCCTTGGCAGATTGCTACCAGTGCTGTTTCCAGAATGTGGCTGGCTGCTATAATACCCTGGTGTCCCCGTAAATGGGGCCAACGAGTCTGTGGAAGCAGGGTGGGCGGGGCTGGGATAGGATGCTGAAGAGAGGGATGATTCTGAAGAACTGTGAGAGGGAGGGTTTCCAGGTCTCAGTGCAGTAGTTCGATAACTGTATCCTGGAGACTGAGTGGGATGTCCTCTAAAGGGGGAGGAACTCTGCTGAAGGAGGCTTTGTGACTCTGTCCGTGGACTATCACACTGCAGGAGCTGGAAAGAGTGGGGAGGAAAGCGTAAGGAAGTAAACAAGTCCCTGTGAGAGTTTGAGAATATCTACAATAGCCAGCATTCTTCCTTCATGTTTAACTTTTTCTCCCCACTCCATACGTAAAGCCCCAATACCAAAGGCATTAACAAGGCAGTCTTCAATATCTTACTTACTTTTCTACCATGATTTTTATCTCAGGGTGAGGACATCATGACTTACTTCCTGGGCTGTGAAATTACATGCAATGCCAGCATCTCCATTGCATAGCATGGCCAGGATCACAAAACATCTGGAATTTACAGCACACTACTCCAATGCCCAGAGATCAGCAATGTCCTGGCTCACCTGGTAGCTGTATCTGGAAGGGCTGTAAACGGTTGCTCCTTTAGAGAGTGCTGAGCTCAATGTTTCTGGGCCTTCTCCATCTGCAGGATCTGGAAGGTATCATAAAGTCAACCTGGCTGTTCGTTCAAATCACTGGTGCCATCACCAACCATGCTGCTCTCCTTGCGACAAACTCAGTGAGTGCAGCATGCCAGAGGGCAAAGGAGTGTTTCATTATGGGCTATGTTTTAAATGCCTGATCACATTCCTGTCTCCTTCTCTTCATCCTTCATCAAAGTGGAGATCCAGAACTTTGGAGAGATGAGAGTTACAGAAAGATATTCCTTGGGAAAAAAGAGCAGACAAGAGAGCAAGCAATGCCAGATACTATAAATTACTGCAGCCCAAAAGACCAAGCCTGAGCTGGAACCTAGCCATGTGGCAGAGCCCAAAGGTACCAGAAACTGACTCACCTCATCCCAGCCTTTGGCGTGAGCCATGTAGGGCCCCACTCCCACGTCCCTGAACCTGGCTGGCAGCAGAAGGCCTGGGGCTCACCTGAGTCTTTCTCTGTGATGTTACTCTCCCACGTGGGAGAAGGCTCCCCCTTTTGGGCCACTCTCACACTGCTCCGGAGGACTTTAGGAATGCTCCCTCCTTCTCGGAGTCGTTCTACTGATGTGGGAACCATCCTGCCAAAGTTAACAGGGGCACAATTTTAAGCTACAGGTCTTAGGTCAAAAATCTGAAATAAATCCTGAGAAAGGCTGTGCAATATAAAGTATTATCTTTTTTTTTTTTTTTTTTTTTTTGTTTTTTTTTTTTTTTTGGCGGAACCAGGGATTGAACTCAGGCCCTTGCGCTTGCCAGGCAAATGCTTATTCTACTGAGCTATCTCCCCAGCCCCTGACGTATTATCTTAAATACACCCTCAAATATTTGGAGTGGTTATTTAATTAAAACAAACCACATCCCCTTTTTCAAATTGTCATATACAAAAGAAAAAACACTTGAAGATTAAAAAAAAAAAATTCAAGGAAAAAGTATATTAAAAATGTCGATTTAAAAAAATCTCTGTTATGAAACACTATTCTACTTCTGTGAAATCATGTGCCTGACATGTAAGTGGTAGTTTACTAAAGGCTTCTCAGACTAATGATAAAATCATGAGTCATATGTTTTCTTACCTAGGTTTATTTCTTCAGTATAAGATCACTATACTTATGTATCTGATTGCGTATTTCACAGTCAGAATTTATCAAAAATATTTATTTTTGCTCTTCCCTAAACTATCTAATTCCTTCCAGAATGTCTTAACTGTTTTGTATATGCTAGCTGCATGGGAAGGAGACATCTGTTAATTCTAACAGAATTTAGCTGGACTCCTGACTTGCCTCTCAACTGAGACGGAAAACACAAGAGGTAGTGTTAGTGTTAACCAAAAAAATAGTGCATGGGCATCCATGAATATATATACTTGTAAATTGCTGTTCCACAGTAGCCCTTTGCTTGTGCAAGGCTGGAGGTTTTGGCTGATACTACTGAATCAGCTAAACATGACAACACAGCACTATTGGCTGGATCTTTAAGACAAGTGCCCTATACATTTCAGGCAATATTGGGCTGATACTAGATACATACTTCCCTTCTGAACTTCATGATAAAATGCCACATACAAACTTACCACCTGCTGCTGATATTCTCTTGAGGTCTACAGTGAGAGGAAGAAGTGCCTCTGGAGTCTGATGGGCTTACTGCCTCCAAGTTGGACAGAGAGGAATGAGATGGGGAGAATTTTGTGTGAGGGGACGATGGGGCTCGGGCCGAGGATCCTTGTGTGCCATGGGCACCACTGTCAGAAGCGGCATCACTGCTGCCTTGCCCAGCTCCTGCAGACTTGCTTTTGTGCTGTGCGGAGTCACCTCCCCCACTGGCAGAATTCTCCTTGGCTTCTTGCTTTCGTTTACGGTATTCCAGCAGGGATACCTAAGAAGGAAAAACAAACAGTACTTTGGTTTGGCATCATTAGTGGATCCCTAACAATGAAGAAAGGAGAGAGGCAGGAATCCTGGTAAACCAGGAATGAAGCCATATAAAGAAGGCAGCAAATGTGCCAACGGCTGTCCAGGTATGTAAGTATCTGGGCATTTAAGAGACGTAAGCCAGTCAGAAATTGGTATGGGAAAAAAATATTCTAGGAGATGACATCGTTAAAGTACAGTGCTCATCAGGTAGACAGCAATCTTTCTCCTTTCTTCAGAAAAACCTGAGATCGTCATTATCGAATCACAGAATCATGCTATCATAGCTACTTCCAACAATGGGCATACTTAGATGAGGGAGCAGGAAAGCTTGTGTATAGTGAGAAAGCCTCTGAATCAAAACCAAACCAATTCACACTGAGGGGAAGGGAAGGGAGGGCAGGGGGAAAAGAGAGGAGGGAAGATTTTCTACGGCTCTTTAATATGCTCAATTTTTACAGATACACAGAGGGATTCAGTATTATTTGAATTCAGTATATACACAGGGAAACTACAGTGTCACAGGAGAAATTATTTACACTTTATACTTTAGCAAGTTAGTGCTAGAAGACCCACCTATATCTGAAAACGTTCCCAACCTCGCCAGCAACCACCTAAATCCTACCTGTCTGTTCCTGACTGCCCACAACAGACTCTTGCCTAGTGTACTTCTTACAACACCCTGTGCACACACAGGTTATAAAAGCTGTTACTTTTTGCATTCTTGTTTCTGATAGTCAATGCTATTAACACAACAATTTCTGAAACTTTATTTAATGTATTTAGTACAGGGTCTACATTGTGAAACCCATTATTTAATCCAAGTTATCTCCCCGTTTCCTTTTTTGTCCTACTCCATAAAGCCCCTTTGTTTTTCTAGTGTAAAATATAACAAAACAGGGATGCTTACACAGAAAAATAATACTTAACTTACCTTAGTTTCCTCATCTGCGAAATGAGAAACCACATCCCTGGCCTTGTTGGATAGTTATAATAGTCACCAAACGGTATTAAAACACTATCTCGGGCCTGGGAGATGGCTCAGTAGAATAAGAGATTGCCTGGCAAGTGCAGGGTCCTGAGTTCAATCCCAGGTACCACAAAAAACAAACAAAAAAAACACTATCTCACTGAATATGCTAGAGATTAGCTCAAACTTATCCAAGAATAGTACGAAGCACACAAACTTAGTAATACTAAATTATTTGGTGAACACTCTTAACAAGTGGGCCTATGTAACATGAAACTCTTACCTTTTTCCTCTGTGGTGGGTTCTGTGGGGCTGATGGGATTCCTTCACAGGCCCTTTCGCCACCAGGTGACATGGATCCACGAGCAAGGTCTTTCATAAAGCCATGTTCATATCTGCTGGGAAACCCTTCGGCAGGGGAACAATATCCTCCGTCCAAATGTAAAGGTTTCCTATCTCCCACTAGGGGAGACCCTCTATATAAGCCATCTGCTCGAGGCATAGCATTCAAAGGCGAGTAGGCATACATCAAGTTGAACTCTGTCCGAAATGCCTGGTCTGAGTTTCTCAGGAGGGTCTGATGTCCATCGCCACTCCTGTTTGGGAATCCAGTCTCTGAGGCAGGTCCAATGGAGGGATGAGGAGCCAGGTCAGAAGGACCTGAGTTGAGCAGGGAAGGTCTGTCAGGACAGCTGTTAGTGTTGGAGTCAAGGTATCCTACTTTTGTCAAATCCAGGTCTTTTCGGTGACAAAGCTGAAAGAATAAAAATCAACAGAGACATGGGGCAGGGGAGAAAGGAAAAAGTCAAAGGGCAGAAAGGAAGGAGTGGGGCATGGGTGCACAAGGAAAGATAAGAGGGATAGAAGTAGAGGAGAGAAAGCCATTAACATATGTAAAAATCCCATACAGCAAAAGTTTATATAGGCCAGATTGCTAAAGAATTCCAGCTTTCCCCAAAATGCTGTTTCTCCTGATGAGAATACTGGGAACGTCTGAATTAGGTAATCGGCCAAATGTGACTATTTTGCCTGCTTAGCCTTTCATGTTTTTTAGAGTTACCATGTAGACTGTAAAGACTGGCAGGGAAATCAGGGATTTACCTGAGCCCCATACACACCACAGAGACCTCTTAAGATAATTAGCTTCTGGTGTTATTCATTTCTAAATTAATATTGATGGGAGGTGAGGGAGGGGGAAAGGCAAGAGAAAAGTAGAAGGCAGAGGAAAGGCAAGGATTTAAGTTGTTGGCTCAGGAAGGAGAATGGCATTAAAAAACCCATCAACCAGTTCTTCATGCATTTTCACTGTTAGACAGGTGTGTTTCTTGCACAATTTTCTAGCCACTCAATTCTTTCTTATGACAACATATCATAAGACTACCAATACCTGTCACTGCAGACACGTGAGATGCTGAAATATACCGAAGATAAACTCTACCTATTATTTGTTTATCATTTGCTCCTAACACCAAGCTTTTCCACCATTAGGTCAACTGCACCTTAACTGTCTATAAGTAATGGTACCAGAAACCCAAGTCCATGCCATCTCAGTCTCCAAATTATGCTGTCTTATATTCTTTAACAACTAAGGAGAGAGGAAGTGGTATTTTCCTAACAAGACAGCACTAAGATGCCTGAAAATGTCTCTCATACACTTGGGGAATGAAACATTTTTCTGTTTCATATTGATATATCAATCCTACTGATTTATAATCTGGTTAACTCTCATAAAACTTAGTCCTAATTTTTACTGGAAGTGGGTGGGGTTAAAGTTCAGTTAACTTCTGGAAAGTCACGAGAGACTATAACTTATACAGAGGAAAAGTGGTTTCATGTACACTCACAGATGACTGTCTTTATCTGAATCTTGTAAATAATAAAATCTTAAGCAATAAAATTTGCATTCAGCATCTTTGTAGTATCAGTTTCCAAGAAAAGCACTCAATATCCAAAGAGCTAACACCTATACAGTACCTATCCCAACTATTGCAGAATGTGACACAAAAGTCATACACTGATTTGGTTATCTATACACTCCATAAGGAGATACAAAGAAAATGCAGGAAAGCTGTGAGACAGAAAACTTTCCAAAAAGAAGGCACTCTGTCAACCAAAGTCCAAAAGAGACGGTTAAGCAGAACTGTCAGATTAACCTTGGAATAAGGTATAAGTCAATGTCCAACTCTTCCAATGTAAGCTGCCCAAGATCATATTATAAAGACAGTTCTTCCTTTCAACTCAGTTTTCCTTATTTGTTAACAGACCTCGTTAATTAGTCTCTATCAGAGTCCTTATTAACTTTCCTATCACACATTCAGCATCCTTTAAACTTAACTTCCAGATTCTAATCTTTAAAAGAACCCTCCCCAAACAAAACAGTTCCCAACATACACACAGCTACTTCATTTCCCTTCATCTCCATGGACAAGGGGATTCATTCACCTTGTGGGGACTGATTGGCCGCCCTCCAGCCCATGACCCCATTCACTCAGACCCCTGGCCCTCCCCACACACTCAGGAACACACTCATGCACACTCACTCTCAGCCTCCAAGTGTGATTGAGATGGTGTGATAACTACCTCGGGTGACAGGGACTCGGGCCTATGCGCAGGGGAACTCTCAGGGGAGGATATGTTCTAGAGGAGGGAAAAGCATCTTGTTATTCATCTACTCCAAGTCAAGAAGCAAAACAAAACAAACAAAAAAATAAAAGCAAGCATAGATGTTAGCCACAACTTTTTTGGAGGGGTGGACAAGAATGCATAGGGGAAATGTTTAACTGCAGAACTCATCTCAATGAAAAGAGTGACTTTGAAATGCTTTCTGATGTCTTTGAAAGCATTTAAGGATAAACTGGTTATGTTTCATGCTATAAGCAAACATCTCAAGCACAGATCAGGAAAGAGGTGAAATTTTAGTGTTACATTTCTTTGTATTCTAGATGAAAGTATTTCAGTGATAGTATCTGTTATCAATAGGCATTCTACCCCTTATTCCTCCTTAGAGGAATGCTGTTCCTTCACCCACACCCTTCTGATGTCACATTTCTTCAGTCTCTTATATACCTCTATCCATGCAGGAGACTAAGAAGAGTAGGAACTAGGAACTAGGGACTAGGACAGTTCTTCCTGATTTATAGTTACAGGAAATGTGACTGACAATTCACAGCTCAACCAAATTTAATGGGACCTGAACACTCTACCAATGGTTTTTGAATAACATCCACTGTACCTTTGGGAATACAGCAAGCAAGCAAGAGGGAAAGAGAGGGAGGGAGGGGGGGAGGTAGTGAGGGGCTGCATGTTTGTGAGAGAGATAGAGGGAGAGCAAGCACGCACAAGAGAATGTGTGTGTATGCTTGGGAGTCCCTTTTTTGACCTGAGGCAGCACTTCCTAAGAAACAGATTGAGCAGTGTGGTCCTGATAGCTAAATGTGAATGACAACAATATAAGAATGTGATGGCAGCAGCTGTGACATGGTTGAGGGTTGACACGCTGAGGTAGGGGAGGCTCAGAATGTTGTGGGACAGTTACAGGGTGGTGGCAGACCTATGCTGTGGTAGGACCGAGGCTGCTAGAGCAGAGCAAGGTTTTCTGTGTGAATTTTAATTCAGCACCGAGGGTGGCAGGTGTATGCAGATACGCCTGCGTGTTTGTGAGACTCAGCGTGAAGTACGAATCTCAGAGCGGGAAGGAAAGGAAAGGGTTATTTTGGTGGAAAGGAAAAGCTAAATAAGCTTGCTCTCTCAAAGCTGCTTTCATCCCTCTCTCTAGATGCTTTCCCCTCCTAAAGATCTTACTGTCTTTACTGGCTTCCATTGTATACCTAACCCTTCACAGTGGAGATTTCTTAACTTTCTTTCTTCTACGTTTATTTCTTTAAAACAAAATGAACAAAAAAAACTCCCAAAAACATTTTCCCCAAATTAAGTTGCTTTTTACTTATGACATCTTTCTGAACACTAATCTGTGTCATGGGTTTGGTTTTATTTTTTTCAGTATGAGAGAATAGTGAGTGAGTCCAAGGAGCACTAAACCAGATCTCTTAGCCCTTTTGTTTCTATTTTGAGACAGGGTCACATTAAGTTGCTAAAAGCATTAATTTGACCTCAAACTCACGATCTTACCTCAGTATGTAAAGTTTCTGGACTTACAGCCATGTGCCACCATGCCTGGCGTGGGATGGAAATATATATATATATATTTTTAAATTTATTGTGTTTAGTACAGTGTTTACAGGGTCTCACTACCAAGACTGGACTTGTAGTGATCCTCCTGTTTTCAGCCTCCCAAGCACTGGGATTACAGGTGTGAGTCACCATGTCCAGGCCCAGTCTCAGTCGCCGTCTCAGCGTGCCCCAGGGGTAGGGCCAGCATGGCATGCCGGGAATCAAACCCCCAAACCCCAGTTCCTGTATCTGCCTGAGCATGCACTTTACTCCACTGAGCAATTTGGCTGGCCCCTTGGGCCATAGTTTTTGATGGGGAAAAGGATACTCAAGTATAGCAAAGACCATGGCCATTACCACCATAACAAGAATGGGTCAGGGTAGCAAAGATTTTTCTTCAATGATGAGAAGGACTAAATTTCTGTAAACTACAGATTTATAACGATGGAATCATGCACTGGCAATTTTGCTATTTAATATATTATAGTCTTGCTTTCCTGGTATTCAAAAATTATGCCTGGACAATTGTTTCACTAAAGTGATCTTTTCAGCTTTTTTAAAAACACAGAAATACTTTGCATATGTATAGCATTTCAGTTATTCAAAATGTTATAAGGGAAAGGGAATGTGCTGAGTATTAAACTTGCCTTAATAAAGTATTCAACTTTAGTCCTAGAATCTACCGACCTCCCAGAGAGAATTTCTTCTCATTGTATCTTACTATAAAACTCTTAATGGCTAACTAAAAGCCAACTGCGAGTATGGTAAAATTAATTACCTGCTTTTGTATTTGGCTAATAATATCTTAAGAATTTGATAAAGAGCAATTTCCTAAAAGTCAAATGTAACTGGGACATTTCTTTCACCTGGAAAGAAGTGCACTCCAAAGGTGAGTTATTAGATACAGGACACATAACTCTGCTGACAAGGTTGTTAGCTCTCTCTTTCTGTGTTACATAAAAACATAGGTACTTTCAATCCTAACACTTCCATAAAAGCTGACTATCAAGGTAGAACAGGTTACAACATTCAACTTTATTGAGGCCTCATCTGGAAAAGTGAAAGCAGTGGTATAACTGAGTGTGTTTAGTGCCCAAAATGAATATTTCTAAGAAGGAATAGATGGGGTCTATTTAATTTAATTTCAAAACAGAATATATAGTAGTCTTTTTTTAGGGGCAATGATATGGAGATTGAACCCAGGGCCATTGGAGTGAGGTTTACATTCAGCCCATTTTATTTTTTTTTTGAGACAAAAATCTCACGAAGTTCCTAAGTTCCACAGGCTGGTCCTGAAGTTGTGGCTTTCCTGCTTTGGCCTTCCATAGTGCTGGGATTATAGGTATACTTCACCTTGCCTAATAGGGGAGTTTTTAAAATATACATGGATTCTATTAACATACATATTTGAATACTAAACTATTTTAGAATTAAATTTAGTATACATATTTCTAATTTAATCTAAAAAATGCATATAATTACTTTGCCTCTCAAAAATTCATACCACTAGCCTCTTGTCTACTTCTTATTCCTCACACATTACACAACAACAAAGAAATCTGGTGTTAAAAACAAAAAACCCAAATTCACCATAAGCCACACCCCAATGCTTTTTAAATCTGTTCATTGAGGCAACAATAGCAATACCAAACAACCTGGAGAAAACAGTTCACTCATTAAAGGCCTAGAAACAGAGACACAATCCATCAGTCCTATCCAAGCTCTCAGGCTGGTATTACTAATGGCTATTCAACAGTCACTTCCAGGTGTCTTTTGAACAAAATATAAGTACAGGTAAAGATCTAGCATGCTTACTATCTAAAGATAAGGAGAATGAGGGATTGCATGCCAAAGACAGATGAATGGAACCCTTGGTAGCACTGTTCCTATTCTGGGAAATACAGGGGCTGCCAAGATGAGGCTACCAGTTAACAAGCCATTCCAACCCTGAGGTTTCCCATTTTTTTAGGTGAGATGGGTAAGGAAGATAGTAAAGAAACATTCGAAATGATAATATATTTGAAATGAGAAGGCACAACTGATTATTTTCATATCTAGCACTCCCAAAAACCAAAGCCAAATCACCTCAAACTGCAGAGGAGTGTTGCAGCGACTAGCAGTAGTAAGAGATGCGATTGGTGAGAACATGAGGCTGTATCCATTTCGACATTCCTCTTCTGGGTGAGTCTGCCCAGGTGTGGTCAGCTGGGGGCTCTTTGAGCCTGAACCAGGAGGGGGTGGCGTAACTGGAGACAGAGGTCGAAGTAACTTGGAAACATTCTGTTCCATCAGATAGCGAGACTTCCATTTCTTTAATGGACTCAACAAGTCTGTGAAATACAAAACATGGATGAGAGTTGAAGCAGAGCTTAATGGGAAGCTCTCCAGTGAGGCCATTAATCTCTAACCTGCTATGGCCCTATTCTACCTGACAGCATTAAGCCATCTCCTCTAGTCAACCCAAATGTCCAAAAAGGCTCTATAATTACTGCACTGCAGTAATTTTCAAATCATTTTACCTACCAGAGAAAGTCCAAATGAATATGATAATCCTAATGATGAGTCCTGGGAGCTGATTTACTCTCTTCTAGATCAAAATACAAATTTCCTTGCATCACAAGTTTATAAAAATCTTTAATCTGTGTTACTTTGTTAAAACGACCCTCTTCCACATCAACAAGTAAAGCTACTGGAATTCCTAATGCATATACATGTCATCTTGGATATCTATGCCCTTTTTTGGCTGCTTTCTATACTATTTGTGGAGAAGTCGAACACGATTCTTCAATTCATATCTAACACCTAGTATTAGAAAGCTACAATGAAATGATTTCTATAAAAATTCTGAAACATTAAAAAAGGTTGGATTCGTTTTCTGATTAAACTGATCCATTAGCAAGTCATTAGAATGTGTATTTTAGTGATCTCTCAAGGACAAAGCACCTATCTTATTTTTCTCGGAGGAAAAATAACTTTTTATCACTTACAATTGAATGAACATTTGTTTAACATTCACTATATGACATCACTAAACCAGGTAAGTAAGGGGTGATGGTCATATGTTCTATTTTTAAGAAACTTACACATTTGTAAAAGAAAACATATTTAAAACATGTTTAATATTAGTATGATCAAGAAAAGTGATCATACTGCCATGTGTTAATAAAAATAATAATAGTTAAAGCCAAAGATAATAGTGTGTGCCTGTAGTACCAGCTACCCAGGAGACTGAAGCAGGATCAGTTGAGCCCAGGAGTTCAAAGCTAGCCTAGGAAAAATAGTGAGACCTTGAATCAAAACCAACTCCTCCCCAAGTGACCAAGCCAAATAAAAAACCCCAAACAAACCTCACAACAACCCCCCCCAACAAAAGACATCAAAACCCAGTTATGCAGTTGGGTATAGTGTGCACACCTGTAATCCCACTACCTAGGAGGCTGAAGCAGGAGGATCACTGTGAGTTCAAAGCCAGCCTGAACTATATATTGAGACCCTATCTCAAAAACAAACCAGCTATATTTTCAAGTGATTAATACACACCACACAGTATAGAATGTGCTTCAGGTGAAACATGTGACTTAACTTTTAACAAGTTTACACATCCAATGTTATTTATTGTTGCCACTACCTTCACATTAAAGATGAGGACTCTGATGTGCAGGGAGGAAAAAAACTAGGTTATTTAACTTGTCTACATTCTCAATTATATCCCCAAGGTTTGGAATAAGGGGTGACATTTATCCCGGGTCTCTGAGAAAATTCTACGTTAGTAGGTCCTGATCAATGATTTAGGAACACTAACCTGGCAGAGATGGTTAGGATGAAACCGGTAACTGTGAAAATCTTTGGAGTTAAGGGAGCAGTTAACACAAAGAGGTATAAGATTTTAAAAAAAATGTGTAGAAGGAGAGGTAAGAATACATGCAGAATACTGGGGATCCTTTAATTTTCCTGAGATCTGAGTTTATTTCCTATTTTGAAAGTATTTTCCTTTTGTTTCAGATACTAAATTTTCTTTCCTCCTCCTTAAGAAGTACCTAGGTACAAAAAACGAATAGAGATGCAATTCAAGGCTTATGCTCAGAATAATTTTTGAGACCTAAATCTAATAAAAGACCTTTGTACTCCTACCTCCACACTGTTCACTGTCAACAACAAATCAATGCACATGGCATTTGCTTAACATGTATTTACCAAGAACTTACAATATTCTACTGTTCTGACACATATGCCATTATGAGTTTATGTGCCAGCAGTCTTTACCCTTTCTCCTCATTCATTTTACTTTTTGCATAACAGCTATCAAACTTTACAATGTTAAAATCTACCTATATCTAAACTTTTTTAGCTAGGCAGCACACGCCTGCAATCCCAGCACTCGGGAGGCTGAGGCAGGTGGACTGTTGCAAGTTTTTCCTCCTGTGGTACTGGGGATCAAACTCAGAATCTTGCACTTATGCCACTGAGCTAATATTCCGAGACCGACTGCTACAAATTTGAGGCCAAATTGAGCTACAAAGTAAGTTCAAGGGTAGCCTTCACTGTGTAGCAAAACCTTGTCTCAAAAAAAAAGCTATTTTTAAGCTTTGTTCAAGTATTTCCTAAGATTATATTTTCACATATTTAATCATACAACAATTTAAAATCGTATCTGTAATTAAATTCAGTATTGACATTTTTATCTCCACTTTTTTTTATGACATGGCTTGACTCTTGTCTTACCCACAAAACACAATAATTATTTTCACTCAGGTATACATGGTAAAATTACCTTATAAAGACAATTAATAAAAAAAATCTAAAGTCAGCTTTCAAATGGTTGCATGGCATTAATATTACCCAAATTTGATCAACTGAAATATTTTCCCTATTAAAAATACACTCTAATGATCAAAAATTTTGCTCCTACACATTCTGGCTCCTGTTTCATGTTTATTACTTCTCAGCACAAATGGTTACATGTAGATTTTTTAGACCAATATAGTATCTACATGTGACTCCTGACTTCATTTATTCTTTTTTTTTTATTTATTTATTGATTTGAGAGAGAGAGAGAGAGAGAGAGAGAGAGAGAGAGAGAGAGAGAGACAGTAGTGTGTGTGTGTGTGGCCAGCTCAGCCCACCAGGGGGTGGGGCTGGCTGGCATGTGGTGCTGGGGGATTGAACCGCGGTCCCTGATGCTTTTGCCAAGCTTGTTCTAAGTAGGTGCTTTAGACCACTGAGCCATCTCTCCAGCCCTCATTTATTCTTGTAAATAGAATAAAACTCTGCTCATGTCCTTTGGACTGCATTCCACTGAATGTTCATCCTCTCTCGCTTTATAAGAGTACTCTAGGGGGCCCGGGAGATAGCTCAGTAGATTAAGTGCTTGCCTGGCAAGCGCAAGGGCCTGAGTTCAATTCCCAGTTCCACCAAAAAACGGCCCCCAAAACAAAAAAACACTGGAAGAGTTCTCTAAATAGGAAAGTCATTCCTTTGTTAAGAATGCTACTAATAGAGCTTTTACATTCAAAAATTAATTTTACTGGTACACTTTTGATATAATGATCAATTTATCATGTGAAATTTGAACCTGTTATGTATTTTGATTCTCTCTCATTTTCCTCTCCAGTTAACTCCTTTTCCCCACCTTACAAAAGCTTTGTTCCCAGTTTTTTTCTTCTATTCTGATTTTATCTTTTCCCTTTTTTCTCTTCTCCCTCTCCTTTGATATACCTTTAAAATGCCATTACATTATACATTTTGTTTTTATTAAGTCCAATTATCAATTGTTTATTTTCTACTTGTATCATAAATACCTTTCCCACTCATGCCAAAGCAACAAAACTGCCAATTCAGATGCACATGGTGCACATCTGTAATTCCAGCATTTCAGGGCCTGAGGGAGGAGGGCGGTTACTGTGATTTTGAGGCCAGCCTAAAGCACACAGTGAGACTCTGTCTCAAACCGGGTGAGCAAGATAGCTAAGTGGACTAAAGTGCCTGCTTAGGTAAGTGCAGAGACTGTGGTTAGATCCCTAGCACCACATGCTGCTCCAGCCCTCCCCCCTGGCCTGTAATCCCAGCACTGGGGAGGCTGAAAGCAGGATTACCACAAATCTGAGCTGTGTAGTGAGACCCTGCAACAACAAACTACATTAAAAACAAATAATAATAAAAATAAAGTATATAAAACCAAACTATAAAACACAAACTCAGACAACAATAACAACAAACCAAGGCAGCTTATTTTTCCTTTATTTCTAGGTTTTTCATTTATATTTTATCAATTGCTTCACTGATCATAGGGTCTCACACCTGCTAGGTAAGCACTCTATCACTGAGCTACACCAGCTACCCTTAAGTTACATTTCAATAAAACAAAATTTGTATCTACGCCTATAAACCTAGCTACTTAGGTGGCTGAGGGAGGAGAATCTCAAGTTTGAGGGTAATAAGATGTTAGCAAGACTCTGTCTCATTAAAGGACTAGAAATGCAGCACAGTGATCCCTGGGTTCAATGCCTACTACTGGAACAAAAATAAGAGGGGAGAGATGAGAGAAAACATAGTATAATAAAATTATACCCGAACAGCAAACTTATCAAGTAGCATACTTAAAAATCAAGTAGCATACTTATCAGTTTTTTAAAACTCTATAAAAACAATTGCCAATTATCTTCATTATAAAAGCTTGTTTAAACTATAAAGTATTATACTTTATAAATATAAGGTACTGATTATTCCTTCCTTTTCCCATGACAACTAGCTATGGTAGCATCTTCCTTTAGTATCTTTTAATTTAAAATATCACATTTATCCTACCAGACTGCTAAATACGCTGGGTTTTTGTTATTCTATCCATTTGCTGTATGAGATCGATAGACATTCTATTTATGCATATATGTACATACATATATACGCACAAATTTTGAAATACTATCACCCTGTAGTCCAGGGAAATACAGCACTTGCTATCCTTTGCCTCACCTTCTTCAGGGCTAGATTATAGGCCTGTGCTGCTTGACATACTTTTTTATTCTACTGTACCTCTTCAAGACACTTTAGCACTTCTAGCATAATTTTTTTTATGTCAATGAAGTGTGGTAATCATCAATCAACCACATGCATAACATAAAGAAAAGGATTTTGAACAGTGTCGTGTGCAATTGAGTCACATTTAGGAAATTGCCTTATTTACCATTACTCAAGCTTCGATTTATCAGCTTCACTGAGATGCACCACACTTCTAACCTGGGTTACTTTCCACTATTGTCTAGTTTATGCTACTATTCTGTGTAATTTCTTCATTCATTTTAATTCAATGTTATGAGTGTAGGAAAATGTTTCAAGTCATGCTATGGTCCTCTATTAACTTTTCAGTTAATTCTCTTGGTCCTTCTAGGCAGATGACTATTAACTGTACATGACAACATACACATTCTTTGGCTAAAATTTTTATAATTTGTTAAATAATGGCAACAATGAGATGTTTTGATTAATAACTTTTCATAATGAAGATTACTGGCAAATGTTTTTAGAGTTTTAAAAACTAGGCCCAGGGAGATAGCTCAGTAGAATAAGTGCTTGCCTGGCAGGTGCAGGGTCCTGAATTCAATCCCTGGTACTGCAAAACAAAACAAAACAAACTGTACTTATGCTATGCTATTTAATTAATTTCTTTTTTCTTTTCTTAGGGGGCACAGGGTATTGCTATTCACAGGTTCTTGAATTCTGCCACCACACTTGCTTAAATAATTGTATTTGTAATTATCATTGTGCTTTACTTGTCCTTCCCCAATGACCTACTACCGACTGAATTTTCTTAGTAAATTTCAAACTAAAAATCCTTCTATTCATAGGAAAATTGATATATTATTTAACAGTTTTACATATTCAAAGCACGAATTAAGATCACAAATCTAATTCATAGGTTGTGTTTTAGCGAGTACATAAGTCAATTTGATGGGATGAATCAAGAATAATTTTTCACTGTTGCTGAGGGGAAGACCTAAACCAGGGCTTCAGGTCTGCTAGACGAGCACTCCACCACTGAGCTACACCCTCTACCCCAGAAGAAATCTTACTGAGTAGTATGTTCTATTCCATCAAAGTCATATGCACAGCAAATAAAATTACAAATGCTACTATTCCATAATTAGTTGGAGTTCAGGTTTTTGTGTACATATATTTTTGTAATTATGAATAATATCTTTGAATGTTAAGTTCTGATTTCTATACTTCTTTCTTCATAAGATATCCAAATAGCAAAGTAGTACAAAGTACAGTGTTATAAATATTTTTAATACCTGATACATCTCCTCAAAATTATTAGGATTGTAATTCTCATCATTTTTATTGCAAATCCCCTCCCTAGTATATGAACTTAAGAGACAATATGGACACAGAAATATAGTAAAAACTGTTTGACTTAAATAAAAAGCTGAATATGCCTAGATTTACTCTGGCAAATGACAGAATTCTTTCTTTTTATGTTTCTCCACAATAATATTTGGGTTTTTTTTTAGAATTCTTTTTCAATACCCCCAAGCAAGTCTAAACTCTAGAATAATTTACCAAATCTTTATCTTAAGACCTGTTTCTTGGTATCCTGTTCCAAATATACACTTATTCTTGTACCAGCATCACACTGATTTAATTACTAGCTTTGTATTAGAAGACAGTATTCATATTTCTAGGTAAAGGACTTCATAGTACTTCATCATTACCTACATTTCTTTTTAGCTTTTTTCGTAAAAATAAGAATAATCAAAATTTACATTGAAGCTAGTCTGGTGGAAACAAGATAGAAATTAAAGAAAGAATATAAATATGTATATTTACAGTACTTATTCTTTTCATTAATGGAAAATTTTTTTTAAATGCACTTTTTTTTTGTATTTTCTTTAGGACAGGGTCTACAGGGTCTCACCATGTAGGTTGGACTCGTAGTGATCCACCTGTGTTGAGCCTCCCCAAAAGCTGGGATTACAGGTGCGTGTCACCACGCCCAGTCTCAATCACAGCTTTAGCATGCCCTGGGGGCATGGCCAGCACAGAAGGCCAGGGATGAAGCCCTGGTCACGGCATCTGGCAAAATAGGCATTTTTAATCTGCTGAGCTACTTGGTTGGCCTGTGAAAATTCTTTAATTTCATTAAAGATTCTTTTCTTTAAACTTCAAACATATTTCTCAATGATTTGCTCACATATCTAAGGAATATATAGGCAAGTTCTTAAGATTTGTTAGGTTTAGGAATTAAAAAAAAAATTTTTTTTTTTACTCATTTTCTTAGTATTTTATTTTTTTTTATTTTTTTTTTTATTTATTAGAGAGAGAGAGAGAGAGAGAGAGAGAGAGAGAGAGAGAGAGAGAGAGGTGTGTGTGTGTGTGGCCAGCTCAGCCCACCAGGGGGCGGGCTGGCTGGCATGTGGTGCTGGGGGATTGAACCGTGGTCCCTGTGCTTCGCTGAACTTGTTCTAAGTAGGTGCTTTAGACCACTGAGCCATCTCTCCAGCCCCCATTTTCTTAGTATTTTAAATGGTATTACAAGCTTTTGTGTATTCACTCCTATCCAGATTGGTTTTTTTTTCTGGTACTGGGGATCAAACCTCAGGACCATGCACTTGCCAGGCAGGTGCTTTTGCCACTGAGCTAGCTCCCTGACCCTATCTAGGAATTTTATTAAATGTCATTAATTCTAAATTTCTCAAGTATTCAGGTGTTTCTAATCTGTCCATCACTTACAAATATTAAACATTATGCCTCTTCCTTACTTAATGGTAATAATTTTTCATCTCCATATAACTTTGTCCTATAGGATTTAGAATCTTTAATGTAGCTAGTAGTCATACTTGACAAGAAAGACTATTCTGTGTCAAATAATGACAGTAATAATTCATATTATAGGTATGGCTTAGACAATGTATTGAGCACTTTTTATACCTTATTTAATTTTAGCTTCTTAAAGCAAATATTACTAATGTATTCTCTTTTTACAGGAGAAACTCAAGAGACTTTCAGTAACATCTTATAGTTCCTAAAGACTAGCACTGATCCTTAAATGTAGGTCTGATAATTTGATCTTTTCTGCTGTAACAATATACTTTCTCAATTATTAGTTTTTAAAGCAAATTAATGAATAAAAATAATTTTTCAGCATTTACACTAACTTCTAGGAAGTTAGCCATTCATTTGGCTACTGCCTGATTTATGAGATATTTTCCTTCTATTCATGCTGATCCTTAAAGGGAAGGTGTGTCCTGAGTGTTGTTTACTGTCTGCTAGAGACTAGAACAGAAGCACAATAAGACTGGTGACTAACAGTCTTAATTCCATTCTAAGCAGGATACCTAGTAACAAAGGCAGTCTGTCTGTAAATCTTTACTAGTCAGGACATGAAGTGCTATACAACCAACCTCCAAACTTAACTACACCCCTGTATTTAACATATACCAGATAGAAACACAAATGATATACATACTATATTAGCTAAACAATTCTAATTACTTATGCCAGTAGATTGGTAATAGTGATGGAAATACACTACAAGGATTTGTTTGTATTTCTCTTGTTGGATTAAATCTCCCTATTTTTGGTAAGGAACAGAACAAATGGTTTTCCCTTGATTTTATTATCCTAGAGTTATATATGTATTAACATAAATCTCAGACAGAATAAATAAAATCAACAATTTCAAAAGTGGTATTCTACTTTTCCCAATGAAAACTAAAAAAGAAAATTCAAATAAAAGCAGTTTTAATAAATAGTAATTACTAGTAACAGTTTAATTAAATCTAATTCAGAAGAATTCTTCAGTAAGTCAAATACAAATGGTTTATATAAAAATCTGGGCTGGGGAGACAGCTTGGCAGTCTAAGCACCTGCCTAGCAAGTGCAAGGACCTGAATTCAATCCCTGGCAGTGCATGCTGCATTGGCCCCAGAATTCTGGGCCTGCTGCCAGCCCCTAAACTGGGCATGGTGGTGCATGAATGTAATGCCAGCGCTGGGGAGGCTGAGACAGGAGGATCACTATGAGTCTGAGCTGTATAGCAGACCCTGTACCAAATAAATAAATAAAAGATTAAAAAAATGTGAAATAGTATCATGCAAACTATAGCCCCCCAAGAGCATCTATTTATTCAACTCATATTTTAAACAAGTGGATTTAGTGATCTCCAGCCCTGAGAACATTTCCATTAAGCTAAATATTGGTATGAGAAATTTTATTTAAAAAACTGTGTAGGGCATGGGATACGGCTCAGTGGCATAGTGTCTGCCTGGCAAGCTCGAGGTTGTGAGTTTGATTTCTGGAACCACCCCCCAATCAAAAAAAACCAAAGAAATAAACAAAACCAAACCAAAGGGGCTAGGAACATGGCTCAGCAGCATAAGCACTTGCTTGGCAAGCGTAAGGGTCTGAGTTCAATCCCTGGTTCAGCCAAAAATACCCCCCAAAAGACCAAAAACCAACCAACCAAACCAAAAAAATCTGTTTGAAAATAAAAAATAACATGGTGTCACAAGTTAATGTACCTATACTTTACTTATGTTTTAGTCCCCTACCCCCAAGTGTTCAATAGGAATCCCTGTAAGAGTCACTGTGAAAGCCAGTAGGCTTTACTGGTAATATAGTAAGTCTGATTTATTTCCTCTCCCTTGATAACGGGATTCATATATGTGCTAGACTCTGCCACTGAACTACATCTTCATTCCTTTTGATTTTGAAACTGGATCCAGTTAAGCTGCCCAGGCTGGCTATCAACCTGCAACCCTCCTGACTCAAGTCTCCCAGGTAGCTGGGATTAGAGGTTTCTACCATACCAATAATTTGGTTTAAAAACTGTTGAGGAAGTTAAACTGGATTTAAAGGTACATCTTCCCCAAAATATTTTATGCTATTTGTCCAGATCCTTTTGACAATGAATTAATAATTTCTTACTTTATTCATCTTCTACCCCCTCAACCATTATCCACCTAACTCAACCATTTAGAATTCATTCCTGAATATTAATGTTCCACCACTTTCTTGCCTCCCCCCTTACAATTATGAATATAGAGTTCCTAAACTTACTACTTTAAATATCTCTAACCTTTTAAAAACCATTTCTGCTGTTATCTGTATACTGTCTAGTTCCTTCTTTGTCGTCCTGGGAAAACTGATCCCTGACTTGAGATCTCTCTCTTCCTCTGTAAAGACAGATGTAAAGTTAACTATTTAGAGAACATACTATTGGCTTGTTTGTATCAGAGTAGTAATACTGAAATATTTATGGGGTCCTGAAATAATTGTTGCTCATATATTCAAAAGTTTTAAATACACATACCTGCATTATCTTTGCAGATGCTAGAGGAATTACTATTCTCATTACTTTGGTATAGGTGCTGAGTTCTAGTCTCTTGGGGGACAGATGATGTTTGAGTCATCCCTTCTTCCAATGCTTGCTTTATCCAGCGCTATAATGAGGGAAAAAAAAGATAACTTAATAACCACTGAATCGATTTAGTATACCCATTTTAAAGCACTAACCATGGCTTTACACATCAACTGATGAGACACACAATCCCATATATTCACTCAGTCCCACAGTCAAGCTTTATACCTTAGCATATTAGGGTATCACCCCATCAATCCCTTCCACCAGGCAAAGCTGAGAAAAATCTCAATAATGAGACTGCATTACAAAACAAAACAAAAAACGTAACAAAACAAAACAACAACAAAAAAAACCACAGTAAAAATGATTACTATTCAACTTTTCATACTGTTTAGGATAGGTTAAATAGAAAGAGATAAGGAAGAAACTTCCATATGTATTTAACAGAGACTCTGATCAATCAGAACAAAATACATAAATATATGCTTAGAGAAAAGAAAAAGATCTCTTAAAAGAGCTGTCTGCCCTGTGCTGGGGACATCTGAAAAAGTAAAAGACTCACAGAAGATTTTGGATGAGAATAAATAACTTCACTACTGGTACTAGAAGAGTTTAACATAGGAACTTCTCCCCACTATCAAGTAGCTTGCATACATTATGCACGAATAACACAAATCACAAGAAGAAATGACCTGTAGAAATCAAAAAAAGGGAAAAAGTAAAAAAGACGACTTCTCCAGTTAGTTACAAATTTTTTGGTAGACTACAGGAAACTAAATTTATGAGAAATATGTTTAGATCAGATAGTAAAGCAAGCCTCCACAAAGTAGGACAGTAAGATTATGCATCTTGTGGAAGAGAGAAAATTTCTTACCTGTAATTGTGTTCTCTTAAGATACACAGTTCTGGTGGCTCACCATTCTGTGGCTATCCTGCTCTGACATATGACAGATCGAATTCTGAGTCAGACCATCCCCAAATAGAGTAAAGGTGAATTATAACTTTCTACCTTTAGAGAACATATATTACAGGTAAGTAAATAGTCTCCTTTGTCAGACTAATTCTAATAGTTTTTCCTTCGAAGAAACAGTACATAAAAAGGGATTACTATACAAGGATATGACCAAGTCTCGAAAAGCCAAGAATAAGAATTAATTCTTTTACATACAGAATACTCATGTAAAGGTGAATTTTCAGAATCACAGAGTTATCTTGTCCAAAGTACTTCTTTCACAGAAGGGGAAAACTAGGCTTGAGAGGATAAAAGAGCAGATAACAGAACTCATCTAAGATAACTGAGCTTTCCTTTAATAAGAGAAGTTAATTTTTTATATTTCTAGTATCAAGCAGATATAAGAATAGGGCTGGGGATGTAGCTCAGTGGTAGAATGCTTGCCTAATATGCACAAGGTCCTGAATTCAATCCCCAGTCTCTCTCTCTC